AAAATAAGATTATTTATTTAAAGGTAAGTAGTCTTCAACCTTCAAAATATAACAATAGAAGTGGAGTAATATATATACTTTTAAAACAAGAAAAAAAGAACTAAATTAGTACTCTTATCAAACTATCAAAGATAGAAATCTTGAAGAAAGAAATCTTTAATACACTCTAATGTCATTCTAAAGAACTAGAAAGTCACTCAAAGTTGATATGGTATTAAACTAGAATAGCTATTGCAAAAAATAAGAAGACTAGAAAGTTTTAAAATAAGACTAAAGACTAAAAAGGCATTGATAAGAATGAAGAAGGCTTCACTCTTACCTCCATATATATTCTTAACTAAGAGCTATGTGGCAATGTCCTATAGGACCTCCAAAATGTGTTGACTTTACAAGACATATATATTAACTTGCAAGGCAAGTTTTTTATATTTATGCCACATAATTAGCTTGTTCCACAAACTATCAATACATTTTTAACTTATTGATCAAGTTTCTAACCTACTAATCAACTATAAATACATGTAAAGTCAAAGTAGTATCTATGAAGCTTTTAAGAAGCTTTTCTAAAAAATATTATGAAATAAATCTACTTTTATTTACTTCTATTTAATCATATAGGTAAATATTAGAGTAAATATATATGTTTGTGATACCAATTGCATTAAATTTGAACTTAATAATAAATAAAAAAATAAAAAAATAAAATACTCTTCTTGATTAAAACATTATTTGATAGATCTTTAGAGATCTTTTGTATCTTTATTAGCTCTAACTTATCTTTAGTCCAACCAATCATAATGATATAAGGCCAATCCAATATCCTAATTCAAATGCTCACAAAGATCATCAAATTTAGATAATTGTCTATTAAAGCACTATAAAGTATAATTTTATGTCCAATTTTTTTAAAATTAATCCACTACAAGCTTCAACAATTCTACTAACTCAAATACCAATGGACTTCTTTTTATAGATATAAATACACCTAATTGCTTAGTTATTTATATTGACCTTCTAACTAATACCTCAAATTTTCTAATGACAACCCTCCAACTCTAAATGGATATAATAGAAGTATCTAATAGCACACCTCTAATAAGACAGAAGCAATCTTAAGTAATTTGGTTATGTAAAGGTAGTTTAGAAGAATTGATGTAATAAAAAGATTTAGATCAAGAAGTTTTAAACAATAAAAGATAAGTTATAGATACTTAATCCATATAAAAACTAACATAATAAAATCTAGATAATAGAAAATAACTTAAAGATATCCAATCTATGTAATAACTAAATTATTTAAAATCTACATTAGATTAGATTAATTTTGGAGGATAAATTTTCATTAAAAAAATATAGATAATTATAAAAATTAATTGAAGTGATATTAATAATTACTAAGGCCAATGGTTAAAAAAAAATATTAGTATAAGGTACAAAGAATGATTCATAATTATTTTTGTTGTTATTATTACTATTGTTGGTTTGATTCAAAGTTATATTTAAATTAGCTAAAAACATAAACCACTTTTCAAATTATTACTCTATCTCTTTTATTTTTTTTTAATCTGAAGAAGTCTTTATCATCTTTCTTCTAAATTTGAGTTGTATATAGTCTACTTTAAAATAGTAGTTGGTGTAGAATTCCTTTTAATATAAAAATTAAAAACTTATCAACTTTGATAAAAGAAATTTTTTTTGAAATTCATAATTATAAATTATTATTTAATAAGTAATCTAAAATTTTAATGATAATTTAAGATAATTAACCAGCTATTGCTTGAATCAAAGTTGAGTCCAAAAAGATTTTTTTGATCTATCAGATTTTAGGCCTACTTATGTCTAAAAATACTAGAATTTGGACCTTGAATCTATAAAAAAATTTAAAAAGTTGATTACTATAATAAGATCATATATTAGAAAATTTAATTTTTAAAATCAAAATTTGACTATCAAGTAAGTTAAATAATAATAACTTCACATCATATTGTAATTAATAAAAATAATTAATAGTTTGAGCATCATTTTTTCACTTGAAATTAAATACAAATTATTAAAATTTTCATAAAAATATTAACACAAGTTAAATTTTTCATTATAAAACTCAAATTTTGTAATTGATATATTAAATGTATGATGGTATCTATATATAGACCAAAATTTTATCTAAAATACATCCAAATTATCTAATATATGATCTTATTATTTTAAAAAATCATAAAATAAAATAAAAATAAATAAAAAAATGAGATCTACTAAATTATATTCTAATAAATGTGACTTGAGATATTTGGATAAGATAAGTAAGAGCTTGGAGTTGAATAAAGAATTGTACTTGGTTGATAAATCTTCAAACTTAAATCTAATACCATCAAACTTCTTCAAATGAATACTTCTAGATTTGCTAAATTATACAATTGTATTTGTATAAGTTACTTGAGATAATATAATTATTGAAGATACTCTTGTAATGCCTATTTCTTTATAATTAATTAGTCTTTATGTTAGCCAATGTAATAGATGGAGTTAATCCATAGCAAGTACCAAATCTTGATTTGCTCATATATCTACATTATAATATTCTTTATTTCTTCTAAATTTGTCATAATTATGAAGACCTAAGAATTATTATACAAAAAAGAATATATATATATATATATATATACATTAGTATTACAACTAAGTTTATGATATAAGATTTAGAACGAATATTAAATCTTAGACTATTAAATCAAAGAAATATGCATATTTATATTACAACATATCAAAATGTGAAGTTATTGATACAAAATAGATTATTATACATCACTCTTATATAAATCTATAGTGATATTATAGAGGTGATAAACATTTATGAAAATTTAATAATTATAACTAATTTTAAAAAATAATTATACATAGTTTATTAAATAATATATTATTTGTTTTTGAAAAAAAATAAAATATTAAATAAAAAGTAAAAAGTACAAAATCTTAATGTTAGAGCCAAGAATTAGTTAAGAAATAAAAATTGTAATAATCTTTTTAAAACCAATTGTTATTTAAAACTTAGTCCTTATTATGACTATAAGAATCTTATCAAAAAATCTATAAAAAAATAAAAATAAAATCTATAATAAAATCTAATAATCATAACAAAAATGTCTAATCTACAAAATAAATTGCAAATAAGAGGATGTGATAATTGACAAAAAAATAAAACAAAACAAAAACCAAAACTGAAATTTGTTATAATAATTCTACACAACTTAATATATTTTCTTAGCCATCATTGAATTGCTGCTAGGGAATCTATTCATAAAAAAATAAAATAAAAATCACATTATTATAATTCTCCAAAGGAGACAATTATTATGATTTTTTTTTCTTAATTGTTCACCTTTTCTTAAACATAACAAGGAACAAGTACACTTGTTGTTTTATACCTCCAAGTTTTATCCATTTCAAATTCAACCTCTTTAATCCTTATAGTAGTATCCGTTTCAATAAAAACAATTCCACTAATTTCTTTAAAATTTGCAATGCAGCATATTGTCTTTATTTGCAAAATTAATTGGCTGGAAATTTCAAAACAACAATATTCAATCATCTCTTACTCAACAAATTTTCTACCAAAATAACCAAATTTAAGGAGGATTTGGATAAAAAAATTCATCTCCTAAATATCCCTAGACCACTTTATCTCATTACAAGCTTCCAATTGCCAAAATCTACCACAATTGCCAAACTTTTATTTATTTATTCATATATACATGTAAAATTTAAAAACTCAATTAATCCAAGAAAGGAAGCAAAACCTGAACACTAAATTTAGACCGAAAAACAAGCCAAAGATCTTTAATCAGGATTGCAACGCGATGAGAGAGGCCAAGTCGAGAGCAAAGCGACTCCAACGTCCTGAAATCACAGAATTAGGGTTTGGATCTCTCTGGGTTTGCCTGCCAGTCCTTTGATGCAAATGCTTTTGGATAACAGGGACACTTAATTGTGGAATGTACATACAGAATAAATAAATAAATCCGCATCTTTGAAGAAAAACTGTGGAATCTTTAGAAAAAAAAAAAAACTAGTTTTTGATTCAACATAATTAAATGTAGATACACGTCGTGGAAAATATGTAAAAAAATAGAAATAAAAAGACAATCCAGAAAATTAGACGTGTTCCTCAAATGTTGAAACAAGTAGCGAATGTTACAAAAATTGTTAAAATGTAAAAAAACAAATGTACAGTAAACAACAACAGTAACAATCCACTAGAACAACAAGGTTCCCCGAAACGACCTAACTTTACATGCTTAGGATGAGGATTATGCAAGTTGAGAGAGCACTCTACCCTGGGTTTGCCTTGTTGAGAGGTATTAGAACCAAAGAAGCTTTGTCCTATTGCTGGCGCAATCAATAGATGCAATAGGATACCTGACATGTATTCACTAATTTATTTATATTTATTGAAGGCACAAATACACTTACATTATACACATGACTCTGGAGGACATAAAATTCTAAGTTTACAGTATTGCTGGAAGGGAGAGACAGCCAGATAGCCGATATGCATATTTTTCTGTCACAAGCTTGACGACAGAAATTGCAGCAGCGGTGCACGCTAGGGCTCAGGGACTCAGTCAGAACACTCAAAACGTTGTTAAGGAGTTTGACCAGTAAAATGTGCCTTTTGCCCCATCATCACTCTGCATGTCAAATTCCTGCATGCTCTACACCAAGCGTTTGCTAGCAAGTTTTGTACAGTTTGATTGAGCATTAGTCATGACAGGGGGTTGATAAAGTTCAAGGATATACGTTCTGGAATCGTGATTTATATTTTGAGATCACCAGTATTACCTATAGGAGGAAACTATCCCATTCGTGTCAGGCTTACCTGGCAGATTGCCTCATCCATTCTAATCAGTCCCTATCCCGACGTAGCAGTCACCATCATATAGGAGTGAGTGGGCTGACACTTAAGCCTATTATATGATGATTTGAGTAGCAAACACACGTGATCGATCTTAGAATCTTTCCAGCAATTCGCCATCCTGTAAGAATGAAGTTAAGCACTTACTCCAGTCTCTTTCTGAACTATCTGAACCTACGAAGAATGAGCTGTAAAAACTCAAGAAGGCAACCAAGTGCTCACAAGAGCTGAGCAATCATGAAAAGTATACATACTTTGTGACAACTTGCGAGGCAAGCATGTCTTATAAACCTACCCTGCCTTTTTCGGGTATTAACTACGGTTCTTCATTCTTGAGCTTCAATCAACATAGAGCAATAGAGTAACCAGTAAAAAAAGGGATGCCATCTCTTCTCATCATCATCATTACCTAACAGTTAGTCATTCGACGTGTGTAGTCTTTCTAAGATTTTCTGGTTGTCAAGGCCAGCAAACACCAGGCTAAGCAGATGTAAGCAACAAAAATGTCTGCAGCCCAAAGACCAGGTCCCTACAAGCACGTTGCTGGCGTCATGTTCTTACAGTGTGAGCACCACCATCAATCTGTGTTAATTTTACCAGGCTCAGGGCCGCATCCCAAATATCATCTAGAACCCTAAAAATACATTGCACATGCTCATCTTCAAAAACGTTCGTGGACTGAAGCAATGCAATCAAGGCCCAGAACATCACAAAACGTCTTCAGGTTGCCACAGTTCCTTCCTTGCGAATAGGATCTTCTCCTCACCAAGTGATAGGTCGTCCTCTTCAGCGTCGACCACATGATGCCAGTTAGACCAGCGCAAAGCTGTGAGGTACTTGCTTACTCGGTCAACTGTATCTGACCTATCTCGAATAATAACAATGCCCATGGGACGCAAAATCCGGTCCATCTCCAACAAAAGATCTTTAATTCTGCAGTTTTTATCCTCAATATCTGAGAATACAGTCCATGCATGCAGCAGATCGTATGTGCGCGGGTATGTCGAAAAAGCTTCACACCTGAACATTCCACCACATACTTCAAGTTCAAGCTCAAAACGTTCCTATAAAATCCTAGCCAAAATTGCGACACAAACAAGTACGACAAATATTGTAAATGTGTCCAGCTCCAAGATACACCACGTCAATCACAAAACAGGTTATCATCTGAACCTTCTACAGACTAAGAAGCACTGTAAAGTTGTCGGTGCCTGGTACCAAAGAAATTCCTAGTTCAGATATATAAAAAGTATTTCAGCTAAGTCTGTCTGACAACGATTTTAAAGAGATTCCAACTAAATCGCTTTGCGACAAGTATAACAAAAGTCGCCAGAATAGTACCAATACGCAGTTTAAGGCAAGTAATTGAATGATGGGCAATGTGAACAATTCAAAAGGATCGCTAGAACCTATGAGAAAGAAAATTTACCAGTTGTGGAGGGATCCAATGAAACCCCGATCATAGACAAGGCCCAATGAATTAGCACCGGACGATGGCACGACATTCATAACCCAGACAGGCAGGTCTTTCTCCTTTAGAGCTGCTGCAAAACCTCCATAATTTGCTTTCATGTCCATGATGTTCCGTACACTGTTCTGCTCTACTTGGAGAGCATCCTTCAGGGAGCTCCAATAGAAATCGACTCTTCTCTTCCATGTATTCTGCATAAGATATCAAACAGAAACGCGTATAAAGCTACAAGTCTTTCGTGTCATTTTTACTCACATTAAACAGAGTAAGAACGACAGCTACATTAATGATACTCCTAGGGCACTGAATTAGTTTTCGATAGGAAAATGCAGGAGTGTCTCATGTCTCTATCACGGTCACGACCAGTTGAAATGGCCGGGCTTCGTTATTATGTACATACATAAACCATCTTATCCTCATGAAGAGTTCAGAGAATTACAGTGTCGGTTAGATACGTCTTCTCGTCAATTCTCAGTCCTTTCAGTCGGGGCGAAGGGGCAACCATTCTTTTGGGCCATGGCTCAATATTGTGAGCTTCATCTGCGTTACAAGAAATCCGTCAGAACTGCACTGACTCCGGAATATTATGTTAGTATACTGTGCAATCTTCGCGAGTTCATTTTGAGAATATCGCCTGCTTCACGTGGAACTTGAAACGTTACAATCCACATAAGGTGGTATTCCGACGTGAGATGTAATATCCACTGCATTCAGATCAAAATTTTCTATGCAAATGCAGAGTGATACTAACAGATGTAAATGATAAACCTGTAAGAGGAGTAATGCAAGCCTCCATGGGCACCTCCCAGGCACTATCCGGATCACTTGTCTTGCACAGTGGAGGTAATGTATCCTCAGGTCTTTTCTCATAACACTCATTGGTAAGCGGTTTTTGCCAGATGACAGTTTGATCTTGGTGGGCAGCTACCGTCCAACACATGTTCTGCACAAGCTCAGACATCTCCTTCCAGATTTGACGGCTTTCGGGATCCTCACGATAAGCTGGAGGAGCAGACCAGACAAAGTATCCACCAGGTCTCAAGAGTCTGTCCACTTCCAAAAGAAGAATTCCATCCCGCTGGTGCCACTCGATTCGACAACGAGAACAGTGAGCCAGATCAAACGATTTACTAGGATATGGTAGACGCTTTGTCCCTAGAACACCAAGAGTAGCAGGAATACCCCTTTCGAGGGCAAACTGGATTTGGTTCTGGTGCACATCATTAGGCGCCAACGACATAGCAATAATCTCCAAGGGCAACAAATAAGCACCAAAGCTTGCGACTCCGCAGCCTACATCAAGCACAGTCCTGATGCTTCCATCCATGCTGAGGTTACCTTCCTCGTTCTTCAACATCTAAGGGGGGAAAAAAAAAAAAAAAAAAAAAGAAGAAGAAGAATTCGTAGAGTGAGCAAACAGATGTTTCAAACACTAGATGAAATCAAAACAATTTGTGTTACGACCATCCTTAAACCTAAACAAGTCTGGAGGCTTCGGAATCTTCGTACAGCAGAATATTGTCAACTTTCTGAACCAAACCTCAAGTCATCAGTCTAGAAGCAACATCACACTCAGAATTTTCAAGAGGATCATTAAAATAGAAATTGCAATGACTTGTAACTCGACAATTCTAGGTTAAAAACAAATAGAATTTTCCACACGACCAGAGAACCAATACACTCACTGGGTCACTTTACACTATTTAATCCAAGTGGACTGATGGATTCAAACATACCTTGGCAACAGACGAAATGTATTTGTCCGCGCCGTTGGGAAAATGCGTGCCACCACCTGGGAAATTCACTTTCTGACCATTCACAACCATCCAATGCTGGTCGGACTTTTCAGTTGCTAAAAATGTATGGGGCACGTTGGACTGCCAGACCTCGTCTCTGCTTTTAGGCCATCTGATGGGCACCTGCAAGTGATTTAACAGATAGTAGGCACCAAACATGAGCATTTCATTTAAGTCCATCGCTTAGCTTACACAAATAACTCACCATTTGAACTTAGTTTCTCATCATTAGACGCTCTGACATTCGAAGATGAGTACGCGCTGTGTTGGTGTGTTTGAAAGAATATAAGCTCAGCTTTATGTGAACAAAGTATAGAACATTGGCATTTCACGTAAGTATTAACAAATCGATTAATCTTGCCATGCAGGCAGAATTAAACAACCGTGGTAAGAACACATTCAACAAGATCAAGTAGAAAAGTTTAAAATATAAAATTTATCTTAGATTAAACCGCAATATTAACTGATAAGAAGAAATGATACCTTGTAATTGGGAGGAGGAGGAATCAAGCATTGGAGTCGGTGCTCTTGAGGAGGGCAGTGTCTCTCGTAATGCTCCATGACAGAGTGGTTGAGCTTCAACTTTAATTTCTTATTCATTTTGAGGTCCAAACAAGGAATGATCTCAGTATACTGAGCGTCGCACACCTGCGCAAACATAGATCCTCTTAACATTACTCTCTGACTACAGCAAGATCAAACTATATGGCATAGAAAACAAATGGACGGAGGTGAAGACAAAACACTGAAATGGAGGTGATCAATGCTGACCCGAACCATGGCAACTGTAGAGAGTATGTTATACGGGTACATCTTTGAAAATAGAATGTGGTGTGACAATGCTAATCGGGGGTCGTTAAAACTAGAATCAACTCGGAAAGTACCTAATCTTTGGCAGAACCTAGAAATACACATCATAGTGCCGTTATGTGTTTTCAAAGATGAAGCCCGAGTGAGAATCACACAAATGTTTAACTAAAAAACACGGCTGAACTTACGGGTAACACTTTCGACGTATCACCGTCGGATGCGGTTTCATCCTCTGATTGCTCAACCTCAAAAGATTCAGATCCATCACCATTGGTATCAATCTTCTCCGACAGCCTATCTTTATCAGCCGCACCCTCCTTAGGGTCAGCTGCGAGATTAGCGGACCAACTTGAAGCAGTGGGATCAAAGCTGTCTGGAACAGCGAGCTTGTTTCTGCGATTGCTGAAGAAAGACCCGTGGTATAAAGAGATAAGTGAAAACATGAGCAACAAAGTGCACACCGTGACCAACACACGGCGCTTCTGGGCACCGCCATCATTGCGGCCCCTCATCCTTGTGTTAGCTGCTGCTCGGCCAAACATCTCTTCGCACAGTTGATTGTCGGAATGAACACCACCCTCACTGTTCGACGCCGCAACCTAAGACTCCAAATTATCGCATGCTCGTTCAGCTCTACAGTCTCCACAACTCCTGCTATGATAATGGCCAAATCCTACGCGCTCTTCGTTACGGTATCCCCTGAAGATTATTCTCAAGTCAACTTCAATTTCCCGGCAATGACACTAACTTATACACTCACTGATTAAGTCCAGGGCAGCAAAACATTGGCCTCTGCAAATGTGTCGCGATATGATTAAAATTTTAATCTATTTGTTAAGAAAATCGTGTTAAAAAAATAAATAAGCAGAGTGATTCATGCACTAATTTCTTTTAGCACCTACCACAAAGCTCAACACAAAGACTGCGTTTCCAACTAGCAGCAGCTCTCTCTTCAGTGTTGCCGAAATGAAAGCAAACAAACAGAACAACAAGTATCTCCGAATATTTACCGGCGTTTCATACCACTCTTCCCACAGCCCCCACGGGCCGCAGCTGGCATTTTAAAGGTTTCAGCACAGTATTCTAATCCACTGTGCTACTATTTACTAAGGCAGCACTCACTTATGAAACATGCACCTCACCTGGGATCCAAATTCCACCTCCGACTTCTCAGATCCACACCAAAAACCTTGCCAACAAATGCAGCCCCACCCAGGCGCTGCTACCACAGGCCCTTGAGCCTTCAACACCTACCGGCAGGCATGATGCAATCAAGGAATTGCATGACACTTCTCCCAGCCAGAGACGAATGACTCCTGTTTTGGATGGAGACTGAAAGCAGACACCATACAGCAGACACCGGAAACCAGCTCAAATGATGCTGAAATAAGTGAGGGCCATGGCCCTGTGCGGACGAAGAGGATCGCACTGAGGGAAGGGGGGGGGGGGAAGCATCCATTGGAGGGTGAAAATACAGTAAGATGACAGCTGCCCTGACAAAGCCCCTCTCCGCAAGGTGAATCGGGGATGGTGATTCCACCGTCAGGGTAGATCTGGGAGCTTCAAATGCTTGCAATATTAGCATGCGGTACAACTTTCCCGTAGTACATCTGGGCGGATCCTCCGAGCCGCGTTCCTAACTTAGGCATACCCGGGCCGCGCCACTTTTTCCAGGTTTGACTCCAGACCACCGAAGACCAGTTCTCAACCAGGATATATTCCAGGTCCTCCACATCCAGGTTCTCAATCCGAAAAGGTTCCGGACTTGGTCAAGTTGGTGTTCCCACGATCTCGTCATCCACTGGAGATCAGCCTTTGCTGCGTCAAATTGATGGATTCCCCTCTGTTCCGCTTTCTCTCCACCGCCACATCCAGTGTATATAGTAAAGTAAGGGCATCTAATAAAGGAATTACCTAACCATATGTGCATATATAGTATATTGAAGTTAATAAAAGTGACAGATGCAATACATGTGTTCGGCAAGTCAACCTGACAACCTGACAATATTCTCAAATATTTCGAAACAGACAGCTTCTTTTTATATTCGACCCTCTAATATATATTCATGAGAAATGAACGCTGATTTTGAAGTTAATTTGACGCATTTTGCACAACGCATTTTACATCACACTAAAACATGATTAATTTCTTTTCACTGGTACCGCGAATAAATAAATAAGTAAATAGAGTAATGTATAATTAGCTAAATAATCATGCTATAAATACAAAATTCAACGAATAAAAATGAATTACTTACATGAAAAAATTGACAGATTGCATTTCTGATATGTATTACTTTCAAAACTTACTCACTTGTTCTTACACATATTAGTTTAAATTAATTACAGTTCATTATCTTTAATCATGGAATGATGTGTTTTAATGATATTCTAAAATTACACTTCATTAAATCTATTTCATATTTCAACAACACAAATATATTTTCAATAAAACTTAAAGATAAAATTAGCATAGAATAACATATGTAATTATGTTTATTTGATTTTATATTTATTATAGACCTTATAGATTTAAATTATTTTTATCAATAAAAATAAATAATATTGAACAAATAAATCATTTAAAATCGTCATCTAAAAAATGTTGCTAAAAAATTATTTAATAAATAAATAAAATTCTTTTAGTACTACATATTGTTGTACTTTCAATCATTTATCTTTCTTTCTTCCTTAATATCATCAATTATTAAATATATTATATTATATTATATCAAATAGAAGGATTCAACTTTATCTAGGTTTTAAGAAACTTTTTTAAAAATATTAAAGATGGACATAAAATTATCTTTGGTCTTCCATTTTATTTCATATATTTATAAAAAAACTTAATAGGAGAATCAAGTTTTAAAACGATATTTGAGATATACCATCAACTACATATTCAACAAACATATTTCAATACTAATTATGGTTATTATCCAAAATTTTGTATTTTAGACTTTTCAAAGGCTTATAATCTTATAATAGAAGATTTGGTAAATGATTTATTATTACTACATGTGAAAATGAAGACACAATTAAATAAAGTTAAAAAAACAATAAACAATCTATATATATATATATATATATATGTATATATTGCAAAGAACTATCTCAATTTTATGTTTGTAATAATGTATGGTTATTCCATTGTATTACCAAAATTATTTGTCCTTGTGACAAGTTGGATTATTAAAGACTTTGATTATTTTTATATTTAAACAAATCAATTCATTTGCATATTATTTAAAAATATTGGAATCTATAATGATCCATATTGTATTCCATATGTCTTTCAATGAACCATAAAAGAATTTGGATTTACCAAAAAGTAGACAAATGCTACATACTCAAATAGCAGTGGATAACAATGAAAAAATTGAGGTAGAAGAAATCTTGGATTTAAGGAGGCACTCAAATAGGTTGGAATGTCATATACATTGGTGTGGATGTGATACTAAGGAATAAACATAGAGGCCATTGAAGAATCTTATAGATGCAATAGAACAGTTGATGTTTTTTTTTATTAATGACATCCATCAAAACTAAAATAAAGACACAAGAAATTATTTGCTATAAAATAGAATATATTAAATACACATTATATTCCATCATTTATTATTATTATTTGTGACTTATATATATATATTATGTATAAAAGAACTAAAGACTTAAAAATCAATAGATTCAACTCAAGAGATATTATTTAATGAAATATTCATAAAGATATTGAAATTACTAAATTGAGATTTTCAATCAGAAATTATGTCATGAAATAGGCCATGATATTAATAAATATTATCAAAAAAAATTCTAGTTGTTTTTTCTTTGGAATTTGTTTTTTTGCATTGGATAAAATATGATGTCTTTGTAAGTTAATCTACAAAAACACAGATAGAATCAAATGTAGCTATTGGTTGGAGATCATGTTTGATACACTTAATAAGAAGATTTTAGGAATATTATTAGAATATTTTATTATATTCTAAAGGATTCCAAAAGATTCTAAAAAGATTTCTAAAAGGCTTTAGAAGATTCTTAAAATATTCTAATAAGTTATAGAAAGTTTTAAAAAAATTAACAAAGTTGCTTGAGAAGCTTCTTAGAATTGCTTCATCTTCACGCAACATTGAAACTTCTTAAGAAGCTTCTCAATATCTAATATATATATGAGTCTAGGCTAAGAGAATTTTCAATCTTGATCATATGTCTTGGAATTCTAGCTCACTTCTCTTTGTATTGATTTAATATTCATCAGATTTAATTAAATTCTTGTTAGTTTTTTTTATTAAAATTCTTCTATTTAACTTCTTATTTGGTCTCTCATATAGTATAACTATGACAACTTGTTGAGATTGCCTTCTTATCAATACTAAAATTTGATCTTTCTTGATAGAAAGTAGATTATCCCTCTTGAAAGCATCTAAATACTTTAGATGTTACAAAATATCTTCTCTTAAATTATTATTGTTTAATTTTTTTTTTCTTTTTTGGAATTCTTGGAGGTAAAGATATTAATATGGTTTAGTTTCTTGAGTCTAAGTTAGATGTTATTATAGAATTTTTTATAATTGTTTTTAGAAAATTCTATAATAACAGCTTATAGAATTACTAAAATTGAAGAATTTTTGGCAAGATTTCATTGTGATGCAAGACTTAGAATAAATCAATCTAAGATGCAAGAACCTTCTTTAGCCTCTATATCCATGGAGGCGGTAATACTTGTAGCTCAACAAGAAAATTCACCTATATAACAATATAAGGAGTCTCAAATTAGTCTTTTAGAAAAGTTTGATGGTACATGCTCAAAGTTCTAAGAGTTTGTTAACCAAATTTGATTGTTAACTTTTCTATAACTTGAGCACTATTCAATAAAAGAGTCACAAATTAGTTTAGTTGGAACCTTACTCATAGGACAAGCCTTATATTAATTTGTTCCTTTATTTGAGAACAGATCTCCAATCTTGAGCAACTTTGAAGCTTTTTTAGAAGCATTTGTGGAGGAATTTGGAAAACATGACTAGGTCCAATAGACAAAAACAAAGATTTTTTTATTATGTCAAGAGTCATGCTCTACATCAATTTATACATTTGATTTTAGGCAATTGGCTTATGACATCAATTGAGATAAACAAGCTTTTATGAACCAATTCTATTGAACATTAAAAGATGATGTAGAAGATCTATTACTATCATTATCTAATCATCATACACTCCATGAAGTCATCAATTAAGTTGTAAAGTGCAATAATCAATTATTTCAATGTCATCAAGATCAATTCTTGTAGATTTTGACAAAAAAACTCACTAAAAATTTATACTTTTTTGCTTCAACAAATGCATTACTTCCACACTATGAAGCTAAGGATATGCAAGTTGATGCAATATGGTTCAATCCTCTTACAATAGAAAAAAAAAAATATCGATTTTAACAAGGCCTATATTTATATTGTAGTAAAGAAGGTCACAAATTTGAGAATTGTTCAAAGAAACAACATACAATGAAGACTAACAATGCAATTGTTTATGAAAACAAAGAAGCCCAACCATAGTAGCAATTGTGTAGCTAGACATTTTAATACTTCAAATTCATCAAGGTCCCTCTCTTTCTACCCAACTTACTTGTTGTTTTACTATATTTTTATTTCTTGGTCCACAAAAACTTCAAACAAATGCATTATTAGATTCAAGAACATTTGTTTGTTTTTTAGATGAAGAATTTTTTAAACTTCATAAAATTCTTCTAATATAAAAATCAAAACATATATATATAGAAATAATAGATAGTAGATCTTTATCTTCAGGCAATATTATTTATGAGACCATATTGCTAGAAATATCATTTGAAGGCCATAGTAGCAAAATAATATTCAATATTATTAGAACCTTGTCCAATCTATTATTTTAGGACTTTTGTAGCTAAAAAGTTATAATCCATCTATAGATTGGAAGTATCATACAATTGAATTTTCTATAAAATTCCTTCAAGAAAAATTTATCAAAATGTCATCAATAATAAAGCCTTTATTTCTAGCAGCAAGGACTTTTATAAAAAAACGACTAAGAAGAAAATGTCATTTATTATTTATGCAACTCCAGCTCATGAAAAAGCAAGCTTATTAGTAGCTATCCTAAAATAGTATAAGAAGTTTTAAGATGTCTTTGAAAAGAAGAATATTGACATATTATTGAAACATTGACTATATGATTGTGCCATCAATCTTCAAGAAGGGACTCAACCACCATTTGGTCCAATCTACAACCTATCACAGAACAAGCTTTTGGCATTGAAAGATTATATCAACAAAAAATTTCCAAAGAAATTTATTTGATATTCCAAATTTCTAGTAAGTATACTAATACTTTTTATAAAGAAAATAGAAGGATCTTTGTGAATGTGTGTTGATTATT